GGGGGGCTCTGCAGCTTACCTGGCTGCTTCTTGCTCTGACTGAGGGCTGCTGGGAGCAGGGGGTGGGGCTTGTTGCATGTGCCCGCTCCCTGGGCTCTTTACTGCCGGACCTCCGCTCCTGTGCGCTCCTGCAGGAAATGACCCCTGCTTGTGAGGCCGATTAGGCTGAGAGGGTGTGACTGGGCCAGGGTCACCCAGTGAGCTTCCATGGCATGAGTACGGATTTGATATTTGTAAGCAAGGACATTTAGCACCTCTTTTGACTTGAGTCGCTACCCGAAGAGTTCCAAAATAAGAAATAAGGCAATGAGAAAATGATATAGTTGCAATTGAGAAGCCGTGATGGTAAAGTTTTCTCTGTGCACGCAGACACTCGGTGAAACAGACTTGTGCAGTCCTCACATTTGAACATCTACATGGGAGATTTCCACCAGCAGAATAGGACTTTCTTCCCTCCCCCCTCACACTGCAGTCCAAAATGATCTCTGAACCTTTCCATGGGATTCAGCTCCATGTGCACTTAAGTCCTAGCCCTGTATTAAGAAACTAGTCTACTTACTTTCCCATAGATGATTCCATTGAAAAGTAAAGGGATGTGATAGATCATATCCTCATTAATTGATTTCTTTGCTGTGTTGGTACAGGTTGCAAAACATACTGACAGCATCATGGCCACAACCTTGTTTGGCAGTGTGTTCCTTCTGCTGGCCTTTAGGCTAGCTTTGACTTTTGGTCACAATCCTAGGACACCAGACAGAGTTTCTGAAGCTGATATTCAAAGACTTCTCCATGGGGTTATGGAGCAACTGGGCATTGCCAGACCCCGAGTTGAATACCCTGCCCACCAAGCAACAAATCTGGTTGGTCCACAGAGTATTGAAGGTGAATATTTGTCACTCTGAGTTATCATTACAGTTTTTGTTAAATTAGACTTTGTAATTTATTCTTTATAATTCTTCAGCCGAAGAGTCAAACCATATGAAAAAACTGAAAAAAGGATTTCCTTCAAATTAGTATTAGATGGTTTACCTTATAACATTTATTTAATTCAATTTGTAAGTATTTCTGCTGATTAAGGTTATAGCACTATGGATGCTTATTAGAAGGTAAGTAAGATTTCTTTTCACACCAAAGGGCAAGTTGTACTTGCCAAATAGAACTTCCCAAACTCTTGTGATATTCCTCATGAGAACGTCTTGCCAGAATTTGGGAAGCTCCATTGAGAAAAATTAGAAATCATTCTAGCATATTTCAGTATCCCTTTCCAAAGAGGATGCTTAACGACATCTATCTTATTTTTCCTCACAAAATGTACATGACAGATTCTCACTTTTAGGCAATGCCAGGAGTCACTGATGTCATCAAAATGAGCTTTCTGGCCAATACTTTATCCACTGCTGTTTGGATCATGACATTATTCCATTGCTGGTGTGTTAAATCAGTCATATGTATTATATTATTATAAATGTTTATAATCAGGATTTCAAGATCTGAGATTCTCCTATGAAGTATGCATGCTGCAATAATTATAAAAATAGTTATCAAATGATTCTCCAAATTGTTTAAAGGTAAGTTTAAATTTTAATTTGGAAATGTTATCTGCGAATGGAAGGTGTTCTTACGAGATACATATGGAAAGAAAGAAAGTAATGGCTCTTGCTAGCATGTTATTTAGGGGCATATTGTTTTTTAAAGAAAACACCTTTGATATCCTCCTGTGGGTGCACATTTCTCTGCATGTGAAGCACATGGAAATTCATTACACAGTCTGACCACTTTCCCCATCTGGCCTAGTACTGCTCTAATTGCCAGTGCCTGTCAAGCGTCTGGCACTCTTTGGAGGAAGGCAGGAAACAAAAGTAATAAGTGTTTTCAGTGACATCAATGTAATGTAGATCATATCTTCATTTAAATTCTTTGTGTGATACTTCAGCAGGCTAAATTCAGAGGTGTTACAGCAAATCAATCTGCACACTTTGCAATTGAACAACTTTCAGTAAAAAAAACAAATCTTTGGGTAGAATTGGGAAAAGCCTCGTTCTAGAACTGAGCTGAATTCATAATTAACACTGAGACTCTGCAACATGCCTGACTCTGTTTGTGTGAATTTAGGCATTATGAATTACTAGGAGCAAAGCTCGTTGCAAAAGAAAGACAACAAGCTCTAGAAACAGGTCCCTCTGTGGCCACACCACGCCGCCCCTCCCCCTCCCTGGAGCCCACGGTGGAGGGGCAATGGAACGGGTTGTGACAACCTCACCGCCCAGGTGGGCCCGGCGGCATCCCACTGGGCCCCCCCACCATTGCCAGACATGCCCCAGGGCCCTCACCAACCTGGAGTCGACGAGGCGCAGAGGAGTGCGGGGCAGGCAAAGCGGCAGAAAGGCCAGCGGTGGGGAAGAGGGAGGGGAAGAAGCCGACTGAGGTCCGCAAGGCTGTCATGTGCGACAGAGCAACAGTGGGAAGACGGTGGTGAGGGACGGGCCCACCCCCACCCCCAGGAACTCCAGAGCCTGTGGGGGCCAGAGAGGCAGTCAGTCAAGGTGTCCCTGAGCGGTGCGGAGCCACGAAGAGCTGCCGGACTGGGGAAGGAGGAGGCTAGAAGGCTGTGGGAGCATGTCGAACATTCACCCCAAAACAGCTTTATATATAAGGAGAGATATGGGCAGGAACTTTGTTATTAAAATAAATTTCAAAAGGCGACTTTAATGAATGCTTTGCTGTTCCTTGCTTAGACATTAGGTGGCTGTTGAGTGCTGGATGGAAATTCTACGAATCCACTTAAGAGTATTTATACATTTCAGTCAGCAGATGGTGCAGTACTAATTGGAAGCCAAATGCATTTTGTAAGAGTGTAATGGAATAGCATCCAAGATGTTAGTGTTACAAATCAAAGTTCTATGTTAACAACACTTTATTTGCTTCTGGCTGGGTTTCCTTTGAGGATTTGCTATAACTCCTTAAAAGAACAAAAAAGTATTATTGCATTATCTAAGGTCTTCCTGAATTGTTGCTTCACGTTGCTTTGCTTGGGTTGTATTCAGACATCACACTAAGCTGTAATTGAATTCCAGTTCACCGCAATAGACTTGAGTGTTCCCCTCACTTTTCTGCCCTTCCATGAAGTGCAAAAACAAACCCCAATAAAGACGAACTCCAGTTGTCCATGATGCCTAAATGCAGACCCTTGGGCAAACTGGAGTTTGTTTTTCCCCATGCAAACTGGAATTCATCCCTCTTTTACAGTTGTGGCTTGAAGTCGAGGGGGTCCGTAGCATGCTTTATTGGTACACAACACGAACTGTTGCTAACGGCCGGCAGGCCAACTATATACACTCTTGGGGACACACCCCTGGGTCCCGTTGGTGGGTTTGAATCTCCCGCTACGATACCCATTGGCTCCCCAGTGGAGGGACTAGGAGCCTAGTCCCTATTGTTCTCCAAGTCAAGCTCTGGGATATTCGCTGGCCCCTGGTGGCGGTCAGCGGACACAACATCGGGGCAACAAACTCCTGTTTGCCAGGCTTTTGCATTCAGATTTCATGGGCAACTGGGAGCTCGTTTTCAATTAATGTTCTGTTGCAGTGGGGGAGGAGTAAAGGAGCATGCATGGCAAATGATCCACATTTGTCCCTGTCACAGGGGATTAGAGTTTTATTGCAGTATGGCATGATGTCAGAATACAGTCTTGATGTCACTTAACCATCTCAGCAGGGTGGTATGAAGCTAGAGCTTTAAAGCGAATATAAATGTTCAAAGAGTAACTGTTGAAATACAGAATTGTAAAGCAGCATTTGATGAAAAAAGAGCAAGAATCCATTGAGCATTTCTGTTACAAAACTCTCAAGCATTTTGATTGTGCTTGTATTCAGGACCAGGGACTGGTGGTTTATACCTAAACTCGTGTGTTCTGCTCCCCATATGAGTCAGTATTAATCTCAGAATAGATGTTGATTCAGGAATGGATATAAAGATATTTTATAATATGAATTCCAAGAACTATAAGCAAGTTATGTTAGACTGTCTAACTTATACAATACACCATGGGATTTTGAATGATACCTTGCTGGTGCCAATCAGATGAATTGTTTTTCCTGGGAAAGCCAAGGACATTAGCTGTTTTTACTGTTTTAATATGCTATTTCAGTTTTATTTGTACTTTTAATTGACATATTGTGGCAGCTATTAAAGAATAATTCGTTTAAGTGTGTATGCTAAAAGGTGTGACTGAATTTTCCATTTCAGGAATATAAGCCATATAGATAATAATTCAGCAACTAATTGCATCTCTGTTGCCTCTGATTTTTTTTTTAAATCTCTTTTCAAATATAACAGCTTCTATTTGAGAAAGAACTCACAATTAAGCTATTGAGGGCCCATTTTGAAACTAAAATAACTTTAAAAAAAATAGATACGTTCTGTCTCACACGTTCTTGAGAAATTAGGTTCTGAGAACACCAACAGGCTTACTCAACTCTTCATCCCACTAGAGTGACTTTAGTTCCATTGTTTTGTCCAACCAAACTTCAAATTATTTATTTATACGTTTATTAAATTAGGCTTTTATACCACCCTCCTCACAAGCAGGCTCAGGGCGATGAACAACAAAGCCTAGAAAACATATAAAATTATAAATAATCTCAAGTACAATTCCAAAAATACCCCAAACCCACATGGTGCCATAGTACAATTGTATCCCCCAATTTACTTTACTATAACAATACTTTAACAGTGAGATGTTCTGCCAAGCATATAACTGAGGACAGCAATAGGTTTTAACAGTTAGTGCACCAGCATCTGTTCACGACTGATTAACCCACTAGACCATTGATGTTAAAAACCAGTTGCTGTTAAAAAACCATAGCTGTTTAAACCTATTGCTGTCCTCAGTTATATGCTTGGCAGAACATCTCTGCTTTGCATGCCCTGCAGAAAACGTAACAGAGCCTGCAGGGCCCTGATGTTAGTAGGCAGAAAGTTCCACCAAGTTGTAGCCAGGGCCGAAAAGGCGCTTGGTCCTAAAACTGATAAACAACTTAAAAACTGATAAATCACCAGGCCCAGATGGCATACATCCGAGAGTTCTGAAAGAACTCAATTGTGAACTTGTGGATCTCCTGACAAAAATATGTAATCTTTCCTTAAAACTTGCCTCCATTCCTGAGGACTGGAAGGTAGCTAATGTCACTCCCATCTTTAAAAAGGGTTCCAGAGGAGATCTGGGAAATTACAGGCCAGTCAGTCTGACGTCGGTACTGGGTAAATTGGTGGAAACCATTATTAAGGAAAGAATTAGTAGGCACATAGATGAACAAAACCTATTGAGGCAGACTCAGCACGGTTTCTGTAAGGGAAGATCTTGTCTCACTAACCTGTTAATGTTTTTTGAGGGGGTGAACAAACATGTGGACAAGGGGGATCCAATAGATATTGTTTACCTTGACTTCCAGAAAGCTTTTGATAAAGTTCCTCATCAAAGGCTCCTAAGTAAGCTCAAAAATCATGGGATAGAAGGACAAGTCCTTTTCTGGATCAAAAACTGGCTAATTAATAGAAAACAGAGAGTGAGTATAAATGGGCAATTTTCTCAGTGGAGGGTGGTAAGCAGTGGGGTACCGCAGGGATCAGTACTTGGTCCACTGCTTTTTAAACTTGTTCATTAATGATTTGGAGATGGGAGTAAGCAGTGAAGTGGCTAAATTTGTGGATAATATGAAGTTGTTCAGGCTGGTGAAAACCAGTGAGGATTGTGAGGCACTCTAAAAGGATCTGTCAAGGATGGGCAAGTGGGCTTCAATGTGGCCAAGTGCAAGGTGATGCACATTGGAGCCAAAAATCATAAATATAAATACACATTGATGGGGTCTGAACTGGCAGAGACT